TTCCTCTCCCACTGCCTTCCCTTATTAATATTTGAGTATGTACTGTATGCCAGACGTTATGCTGGGATAAAGGATACAGCAATAATCAGAATAATAGGGCTCCATTCTTCTGTGATGTTTGCAGTCTTTGGGTATATGTAGACATTAAACAAATCATTGGACAAATGATTATATAAGTATAACCACATGAAGTGCAGTGAAGAGAAATGAAGAGTACCATGTGAGTATTTAAAAATGTATTCTCTAATGTAAGAGAAGTAAGAGAAGCTTTCTTGAAAGATCAGAAGAATGAGTAAGAATTTGCCACCCCATGGCAGGGCAGAGGAACAGGAATTGTGGAAAAGTCTTCCTGGAGGATACCTTGTATATGGAGTCTCTGGTGGGAAGAAGGTTAGCATTTTTGATGAAATAAAATAAAGGTAGATTAAGCTGCAAGTGTCAGAAAACTCAAAATGATATTGGCTTGAAAAAAATTACATGTGTTCCATATAAAAAGAAGTAGTCCAGAGCTGATCCAGTAGCTCCATCTTCATCAAGGACCTAGGCAACTTCTGTCTTATTGCTTTGCCCTACTCAGCATGTTGTTTCCATTTTACGGCCCAAGATGGTTGCTCTGGCCCTACTCATCACATCTGTATTCCTGCCCACAGGAAGGAGGAAAGGGCTGAAGAACACAACTTCCCTTCGAAAGAAATCTCTTGGAAATTGCATGTGTCACCTTTGGTTATATCTTCTTAGCCAGAATTTTGTCACATGGCCATACCTAGCTGCAAACATTAGCTAGGACTTCCAGTACAATATTGAAAAGGAGTGGTGATAAGGGACATCCTTGCCTTATTCCTGATGTTAATGAGAAAGCTTCTAGTTTCTCTCCATTAAATATGATGTTAGCTATAGGTTTTTGGTGTTGTTTTTTTTTTTTTTTACATGCTCTTTATCCACTTGAGGAAGTTCCTATCTATTAGTTTGCTCCGAGTTTTTATCATGAGTGACTGTTAGATTTTGTCAAATGCTTTTTCTACATCTGTTGATAGGGTAATATGATTTTTCTTCTTCAGCCAGTTGGTAAGATGGATTACATCAATTGATTTTCAGACATTATGGATCTGGGTTGAATCCCACTTGGTTGTGGCATGCATTTCTTTTTTACATTGTTGGATTTGGTTTGCTTATATTTTGTTGAGGATATTTGCATCTGTGTTCATGAGAGATATTGGTCTTTTCTTTTTTTTTAATTTTTTAAATGTTTATTTTTGAGAGACGGAGATACAGGACATGAGCAGGGGAGGGGCAGAGGGAGACAGACACAGAATCTGAAGCAGTCTCCAGGCTCCGAACTGTCAGCACAGAGCCTGACGTGGGGCTCGAACTTACAAGCCATGAGATCATGACCTGAGCCAAAGTTGGATGCCTAACCGACTGAGCCACCCAGGCACCGCTAGTCTTTTTCTTGTCTTGAGATATCTTTGCCTGGTTTTGGTATTAGGGTAACACTGACCTCACAGAATGACTTAGGAAGCATTCCCTCTGCTTCTACTGAAAGAGATTATAGAGAATTGGTGTAATTTCTTCATTAAATGTTTGGTAGAATTTGCCAGTGAACCCATCTAGATCCAATATGTTCTTATGAAAAATTTCACCGTGCAGAGATGTGAGCCCCAGAGGTAGGTGTGAGTGTCATTCCTTGGGTAACCTTACAACAGTTACTTAAGTGCATTAAACTTACTCTCTTTTTCTTTAAAATAGGGATACTACCACTTTATTATGATGGTGTTCAAGGTTATACAAACCCAGCACTGCCCAGCCTATAGTGAGCACTTAATAAATAGGAGCAATTTATTATTATTATTTTTTTTACTACCCTAGACTGACATTGTGTGTTGAATTGTTGAAGCTACCATTTCTTATATACTTTTGGAAGATAAGGGTACATAATTCCTAATTTCTTTTCTTTCTTGCTTTTTGGCTTTATGGATAGCTTAATCATACTTGTAGCTTTTTTTTTTTTTTAACTTAGAGGAAAAAAAAATTCATTAAGGGATCTCAAAAACCAACTACCACTCTGGTATGTTTGATGGTCAGAGATGCTCTATATGGAGTGTGTTTAATCATTGACCCCAGTGGGTCTTTGAAGTGCATCTATCCAGTCAGTTGATCATAGTGTGCCCTGTGCGTTGCTTTTTTCTTTGACCTTGGACTGACTCCTATAACACATGGCTGGAACTATAGCCCATTAAGTGGGATCTTCCCTGCCCTGACTCTGGCAAGATAAAAACCATAGATTCTAAGGTGAGGATTGCTTGTCCTTAGCAATCTTTAGGAAAGACTTTATCCTCTGATTTGTTGCCAGTGAATTTTTTCTCTAGCCCTAGTGTGGTGATTTAAGGGAGATCCTGACAGGTGATGGTGGCATTGTAAGGAGGAGGGCAAGTCAAGCAGATTGCAGACATGTTTTGCGTGGAACCACAGGCCATTTGGAGCTTTGCACATACATACAAAAGTGGTGCTGAAGAGCTTTTTTTTTTTTTTTTTAAGTTTTTCTCTATAATCTCTACACCTATCATGGGGCTCAACCTCATGACCCCAAGATCAAGAGTCGGATGCTCTACTGACTGAGCCAGCCGGGTGCTCTGTTTTCAGTTTTTATTTAAATTCCAGTTAGTTAACATGCAGTGTAATATTAGTTTCACGTATACAATATAGTGATTCAACACTTCCATACAGCACCTGGTGATGATCACAACAAGTGCATTCATTAATCCCCATCACCTATTTAACCCATCCCTCTACCCTGGAAAGCATTTTTATATGTGCTCAATTTATGATAATGGAAAAGTCATGGCAGGAGGCTGTGAAACCAGTTCCCCAGAGTTGAGTAGGAAGTAGTAGGAGACTCTGGAGCTTTGGGGTGTGAGATATACCAGACACCCCTCTGCAGTTGGTGAGGACAGGAGGGGAAACAGTAGGGGGAGCACCTGCTCATACTGTTTGCCCTACATGGGGACTTCAGGGACTCCTATGTCCCTTACCTGCTGCCTTTGCCACTGTGACATCTTCCTTCACCACCGCTGTTTCTCAGAAAGCAGCTGGGCACAGTACAGCAGTACAGAGAGCAGCAGTGATTATTTGAGAAGGTACATACTTCATTTCAGACCAGATAACTATTATCAACCTAGACAATTTCCATGAGTTCTGAAATAGACTTGGCACACTAGGCAGGGTGTCTGCTTATAGTATAGCAGTGGGGGCGCAGGATTGCCTGGTTCTGAATGACATTTGCATTTTAATTTTGCACTGGGTCTGTAATCCTGGAGAGTACTTTTACTATGTATAAGTCAGGAAGAACTCGTTGGGAGTGAGTTTAAGTCTTTTATCAGGTTCCACTTGGGGAAGGCTGCGGTTTAGTGGACGCTATATGATCAAGTCTCAGTCTCCCCATGTATCCAGTGGAGACAACACCAAGCTTGCAGAGATATATTATGGGTTCCTCTTTCTTAGATGTCTCTTTCTGTCAACCCAGCCAGTGTGCAATGAGGCCCAAGTAGTACCTCACATCACTCTTGCCCATATTACCTCCTTACAGCCGAATCCAAGTCTCTAGAATGGTGCCTCAATCAACAGTCAAGGAGGAGGCAGTTTTTGTTGTTGTTGTTGTTGTTGTTTGTAAGCCCAGTGATTCCCTTCACAAATATTTTTTTAGCATCTTCTACATGCCAGATGCTGTGATCGGTGCTGGGGACACAAAGATGAGTAACCCACAGTCCGGGAGGTCATACTGTACTAGCAGGGACAGATGTGTATACACTGGTGGTTACAGTGTAGACAATGAAACCGCAGAGATGGGCAAAGAAATTATGAGAGGATGGAGGAAGAGTACCTCCCTCAGCTTGGGGTGTTTGTTGTGGGGACAGAGTTCGAGTGGAAGAGGAATTTGGGTAAAAGAAAAAAACTTGAATAAAGGCATGGAGTTAAGAAACATCATGGTATCTTTGGAGAACTTTCAGCCAATTGGGGTTGCTGGAGTAGGTTGGGGTGAGGCTGGAGAGAGAGGAAGGGACTGATCAAGAAAGGCCTTGTGTGCCTGGTGGAGGAGCTTGGGCTTTCTTCATAGGCCAGAAGTCCTTAAGGGACCGGACATGCCCACAGAGATGGGAGGGGCAGGCATTCATATTGGGAATAACCATCCCATTGAGCACCCTAGGTAACGTGGGTGGTGCTTGCATGGAAGGTGACTTGGAGAGCTGGAGACCAGAGTCACCTTTTAGGAAGATCTGCAGTTGTCTAGAGACAGAGGTGATTAGAATCACAGAAGGTAGAGCTGGGCAGGAATGGATGTTAGGATTTAAGTTGTGATGATTAGAGGAAGGGAGAATCAGGAGGCGGGAGCTGAGTATTTCCAGGATTCTACTTTTCCTATTTGAAGCTCTACTCATATGCTTTGCCCTCTCTTGGGAGGATTTTTCTGACCTCTGGCCCAAATTTTGCCATACAACGCTGGCCCCAATTAGCCCTGCTCATTATATCTTGCTTTGTATTGTTCTTAAGTTTGTTTTGCTCTAAGAAGGGGGAAGTGCTTAAAAAGTTGAGACTGTATCTTATACTTTTTTGGTGCAATTTTAGGTGTTTAATGTTATTTATGCATACTGTTATTGGGCTTTAGGCAATTTATTCCATTTACTTCTGGTTTTCTTCTACGAGAGGAAGGAATTGAACACAGATGTCAAACGGGAGGTTTCCTCCATCCAGAGGAATACATTCGTGACTTGTGTATCTAAAAGGGAATTTAAATAATCAAATACACATCAAAATCATCTGAAAGGAATTCAAGAGATGGGGGTTTTAGAATAGGTTAAGCTTTTTTGCCATTCAGTTCTGGAAAGAACTTACCTGGAAAGGTTCCTAAAGGTTGGCAGTGGCTTGATCATCCAGACTAATTAATTTAACTGTAGCACAGTTAATTGCTGTTTCTGAGGGGTTTGTGTTTATGATTCTTTCTGCAGATCCAGAGCCCGGGACCCAGTGTGAAGTGTCGCCTGTCAACGCCTCCCATCCTGTCCAGGCGTTAATGGAGAGCTTCACTGTCTTGTCGGGGTGTGCCAGCAGAGGCACGACGGGGCTGCCACAGGAGGTGCACGTCCTGAACCTCCGCGCTGCTGACCCAGGGCCTGACCAGCCTCAGAGAGAGGTAGGCGTAGGCACCAGCTTTCTACTCATTGCCCCTCTGAGTTTGTAAAGACACTTGTCTGTTTTTCCATTCCGGGTTTAGCAAGGATGCTCGTGTGTGAATGTAAGTGGGGAGGAGGGGACACAGTGTACGCAGATTGCTCTCTAGACTGGGCAAGTCTAGGACATCATTCTGGAGAGATTTTTCAGCCTTGTAACTTTCCTGGCTACCCCTATTGGAAAGAATGTTCTTAAGAATTTCGTCTTTTAAACATGGCTGTCAGAAAATAAAATAAGGTGCCATTTTTCTGTAATTGTAAGATGTCTTTCTCATCTCCTCCTGTGTCCCTGTGTTTCTCATTTCTTTCCTTTGTCTTATGAGCCTGCTGCCCCTGCAGGATGAGTCGGTGGAAATTGGAGAACTCTCTGAAATAAAGATGGTGGTACTTTGTACCTGAATGAAGAGTGCTGGAGGATAGCTCCTTATGCTATCTAGGCAGCTTTTTGAAGATAGTGCTGGTCTAGGTGATGGTGACGAGCCAAGCTCGTAGTGACTCAGTATTTCATCTGTCCTCAGTGCTATTTGAAGCACTCATACACTTAGCCCACGAAGTCCTATTATTATCCTCCTTTTACAGGTGACAGGTGCAGAAGTAACTTACTCACACAAGGTCATCATCACTTTAAAAGAAAAATGGCCTCCTCTTTCCTGTGGCTCAGAAATGACCTAGTTTGTGGGTAATGGTTGTCATACTGGAATATAACACACAGTTGCCATTCTTTCTTTTTTGAAGCTTCTGTGTGTCAGAAATGTTATCAATCAGGTATTATCCCTCCAGGGAGAGAGAAATCATAGTAAATCCTGATCACAGCGAAGTGTAGGGAAACTAATGCAGAATGGAATTTGTCTTTGCGTTTTCTCCTGGTCAAGGAAATTCATTTCCAGAATTATTTGTTTATGTGCCTCAACCACTCTGCCTTTTGTGGGGAGTAGGAATAGGAGAGAGGTGAGGTGTCCAGAAGGAAAAGCAAACTGATTTTCATCTCATGAAAGTGTGCAGAGTTGGCTCATTTCAAAGACAAATCATCTAACCTTTTCAGCTACCCTGGAAATTATTGTTAATACACTTGGTTGCTTGCCATTGTTGCTGCAACACATATTTCAGGTCAGATTTCTTTATCCGAGCAATGTGTCTTTAATTCTTAACTTATGGGGGAGATTTGTGGTGGGAGGGAAAGGAGGAGGAGGAAATGCAGTTCCTGTGAAGCGTTGCTGACTCCAGCAATTCTTTAGCAGCAATAATTACTCATTTTATATGTGCTCTCTCAGAGGAACTAAGAAAGAAAAGAAAGTTTGAGCTATTACAGAAGCAGCAACAGCAGAAATTCTGGATGTTAAATTGTGCAGTACTGTTGTGGACTCTGAAAATAGATTCCAATAAGACGTTTGAAGTAAAAGAAAAACACCTCCAGGAATGATAGCAGATTTCTCCACACTTGCATTTACTACGTTAGATTAAAATTGTTCATGGCAGTAAATTACTAAATCAGCTCTTTCCCCCGGCTTGTTATTGGTGCAGGATCAACTCTAAGATCTATTATAAATCCACCCTTCTCTGACATACATACTCTGAGGGTACATAAAACTAGCTGGCATCCAGGGACGTAGTGTGTTCAGTGAGGGAGTAAAGAAATGGGGTCTGTAGGGGATAGTCTCAAAAATTTGTTTAAAAACCTAAACATTACTCTCCTTTCTTCAGTATTCATATAGTACATGTATATGTATGACTTGGGGTTAGTGATTTGAAGATATTTTTGAGATGAGGCAACTGAGGGAAATTGCATCCTTTCTTTCTTTGGGGACTTTTTAGGAATTAGATGGTTGCAATTCATTCCTTTTTGAAAACAAGATTTTGGGATATGTGATCTTTGGAAATTCTATCTGGCACTGAGTTGCTCTCAGACGTTGGAGTATTTTATGTACAGATGTGAGTGTAGAGTACAACATCAGAGTGGTGTGGCCACGAGAGAATGAAAGAATGATGGCAAAATGGGGGTGGAGAGATAGTAAATATTAAATCTCTCATCTTCTCCATGTATGACTGTGCAGCCACGCAGTTTTTGAAATCATTTGAACTACATGTCCCCGCAGTTCCACTTCTCTAAGTATTTACCCAAAAGACATGATGACGTATGCCCACCCAAAAACTTGTCCACAAATGTTGATGGCAGTGTCATTCGTATGAAAGAGTGGAAACAACCTGCATGTCCATCTACTGGTGAATGGATAAATAAAATGTGGTCTATCCACCCGATGAAGTGTTACTCATAAAAAGGAATGAAGTGCTGCTGTGTGCTGCCATGTGGATGAACCTTGAAGACATGATGCTAAGTGAAAGAAGACAAGACAGACACATATTTCGTGAATCCATTTATATGAAATGTCCATAATAGATTTATAGAAACGGAAAGTAAATTAGTGGTTGCTATGAGCTGAAGGGCAAAAGAGAGAAATGGGGGTTGATGGCAATGAGTACCGGGTTTCTTTTGGAGGGACAGAAATGTTCCAAAATTAAGTGGTGGTGATGGTTCCCCGACTGCATATGAATATACTAAACACCACTGATAAATGTGAATATACTAAAAATGGTTGGGTTGCATTTTAAATGGGTGAACTTTTTTTAAACCAAGATTGCTTACTACCCCAACCTGAGGTCACCTAATTCTCTTCTCACTGGATAACTTGGTTTTTATAGATATCATGTGGTCTGTGGTAAAAATCACGGCTGATCCATTTTTGGAGTAAGAGAGGAAGGACCAGAGGTAGCCTTTGTGCACGTCTCTACTGACCAGTGAAGGCAAATACTCGTCAAAGTGAAATGATGCCCTTATGTATAAATTAGCAAAAAGAGTGCCATGCTAGCTCCAAGGTATAACTGACCTTGACTCTGATGACCAAGGTAGTTGTTTTTCACCATTTCCCCCTTAAATTACTAAATCAGCTCTTTCCCATAGCTTGTTATTGGTGCAGGATCAACACTAAGATCTATTATAAATCCGCCCTTCTCTGACATTTTGCTAAATTCCTACCTCCTAGGCATCTTAAGGTTCTTCAGCTGAGGAGAGGCTGCTGCTATTCCTGTGTGAAGGAGGTGACAGAGCCCTACACCTGGAAGTAATAACTGCAGCAGGTTGACAAGATTTGGGGAAATAGTTATGCTTAAGTCAGAGAAACAGTTTTAGAGGCCAGCAGAGAATTTGTGTCAGAAACTCGCTTGTGACAATAATGTATACAAAGCCTTCTGTAGCAAAGCACTGCTTTGCCACTGGCCTCCCTGCTGGGTTCTCCTCAGGACAGCGCAGAGACCTATAATTGTATTTTTCATCTGAGACCACACCTCTCATTTGTAATCATTGGTTTTGGAAACAACAGGCCTGGAAGTGAACAGGAAACTTGAAAAAGACTCTCTGGCGACAGAGAAGGGCAGAAGACAGTAAACAGCCCAGAGAGATCAGTTTTGTCTTTAGGAATAAGCAGACACCGGTGTCATCATTTTCATCCTGTGAAAACCAGCTCTCGCTCTTTGACTTCTAAAACGTACCCGTCCCCCTGTCAGAGTTTGGGCCCTCGGGTGTTTCCTGATTCCTGAGAAGGGTTATAGCACCACCAGAGGCTTGCTTACAGTAACATACTTTCATTAGTTGCTGGAATGGCAACAATTTTGTTTCCTATCTAATTTTTATTGTGACCTGCTTTTATGTGGCCATGTGTCTTTTCTATTTCCGACTTACCTAATTGCCTGTTTACTATGAAAAGCTGCTGAGACCAAGCCCCTAGTTAGCATTACCTACGTATATAAAAGACATGGTGTTTAAATTTATATATTTGTCTTGACATTAAAGCAGTAACTCTTAATGTCTATTCCAATAACTGGTTGTATGGAGGAAAGATCTGGAAGGCTCATTGTCATGGGAAAGGGACCAGGTTTAATAACTTTATCCCTCAGAAAGTTCAGAACCGTTCATACTTTCATGTATTTGCTTATTCTCTGCCTCATTCCAAAGAAAGGATTTGGGATAGGCTTACAGTAGACATCTCAACAGTGTAAGCAGAAATGCAGGATGAGGACAAAGCAAAAAGAAAAGCATCGTTGTTGGCTCTATGGGTTAGTGTGTTTGGTATGGTTGAGTATGAAATTTGGATCCACACGTCTTGGCAGGCGGGGCCAAATGGGATGTGTGGTTAATCACACATGTGGCTGCAAATCACTTTTACTTTGTACCTTCTCGAGGACTGTGGCATAAAGTTGTTCCTTCCTTGCTTTTTAAAAAAAATTTTTTTTGACGTTTATTTAGTTTTGAGAGAGAGAGACGGAGTGTGAGCAGGGGAGGGGCAGAGAGAAGGGGGAGACAAAGAATCCGTATCAGGCTCCAGGCTCTAAGGTGTCAGCACAGAGCCCGACAGGGGGCTGGAACTCAAGAACCGTGAGATCATGACATGAGCCTAAGTCAGATGCTTAACCGACTGAGCCACTCAGGTGCCCCCCCGCTTCCTTTTGAGGGCAGGAAAGACCACAGTTGGGAGAAAGAGAAGCAAGTAAGCACATCTCTCTGAAATGCTAACTGTTCTGCTTGCTTCTTAACAGTTCCCATGCCCACTGAGTTACAGTAACAGCGACGACCATGGTGATGGTGGTGGTGAAGTGCCTGCTGGGGGTTGGCCACCTCCCTGGCACTTGTATTATTTCTGCCTGTCCTCATTGTCACCAGAGAAAGGAGCAAGGCTTAGGGAGGCAGTGGACGCTGGGTCGGTTGGACTCTTCTAGCACAGGCTTTCCCCACTCTTCCCATCCACTTCCCTTCTACCTTCAGCTCTTACCTTGTTCCCGGCTATGAAACCTGCTGACCACTCTGGCTCCACCTGTTAGGTGAGCCAGCTGATCTACTCAGGGTTTGGGTTTCCTGCATAGGCTTGTGACAGCTCATTCCAGTGTCCCCAGTCCCTTTTCATTCCCTTCTTGT